CATCACTTCTTTGTTCACAGCTTTGAGATAAAAAGGTTGAGCTCCACTTGAGGTGAATCCGAGTCCATCCCGACAGCAAATACCACTCCATTCTCTGTTTAAAAGGTCAGATATCAAGAGAAGCATCACAGTTATTGCAGTGCCACCAAGTAAACCTGTCCCACTGTGCGAACACGTAGCTGTAGAGCTGCTGTGTGTCGCCTCGTTTGGCCTTTGTGTTTTCTTTCACTGCAAAACTGACGAAGAAGCCTTTGCCTCCATCGTGATCGTGAAGCTCTCACCAGCATTTATATCTTCATCTTCTTATCCATTTGACTGTTAGCAGTGCAGCTTTCCAATATGCTAAAATGTGGCTTTTGCTTTCATCTTCAGATCTGATTTCCCACTTTTTTAGTCACAGACGCACTTAATCTGAGATTACATACAGTACATGTCAATCTGGACTATACAAAGGATAGAAAAGTGGTTTATGAAGCATTTCTACATAACTTGAGTAGAAAAATCCTGTAAACAAATGATGGAGAAGCTTCCCAGCGTCTGAAATAATAAAGAGCATTAAAGCCTGTGTGAAGCTGCATTTTACTTCCTCTGGGGAGGAAGTGGGAATCTGATGGAAAAATGACTTTCAGTATATTTATTCACCTCAGTGCGGTGAGACTATCATGAGGAAATACATAATTTTTGTGTAAATTTTCTGTAACGACACCTAATTTGGGAGTTACATGTGTTGACATAAAGACACCTTTATAAAGTTTCATCAGCACGAACGCTGCTGGGCTGTAATTGAAAAATGGCAGACTTGATGCAGTGCAAGGTAGTGCATACTTACCTGCAAACAAAAGCAAAGTAATAATTTTTTCCTTATTTGAAGATAAATTGCATGCTAGGTAAATGTGTGTTTGCACCAACAAGTATAATCTGACAGCAGGAAGATGTGAGGGCCTCGTGGAGATTGGATCGTTTGAGGGGCAAGAGAAGGATGAAGGCTCAATCCTGTGTCTGTTATTTAGGGTGTGATGTGAATAAGGATGAGATCATAGTCCTGTTTAAGAGTCAGCTGTTTGGTGTGTTACTGGCTCTCACTGTTTCCACTTCATGTGTTTCTGACTCAACTTGCTCACTGGAATTGTACGTGGTTATAATTCTCTACAGTTACTGAAGCTGTTTTAATAGTATTGTAGCATCCCTGGCTGAATGTAAGAGCTAGGAGCAAAACAAAACCAGCAATATTAATACCATAACATCAAAGGAAACAAATTTCTCCTGCTCACATATAGCATATACATCAAATTTACATCATTCAATTCATCATATCACTTAACTAACTTACAACTACACATAAAGGTTAACAACACACGAACTCTATTAAATGACATTTTGATTGTACGTAACTTATTCCGTTAAAGGAAACATTAACAAACCTTGTGCCACTGTCAGCCAGGTACTAATTGGCAAAAGAAACGTACATATTTTTCACTTTAAGGCACACTATTTACCATATCCTAAAAGAAACGTTACTAACGAGCCCTTTATCGGTTTTGCGCCAGTTTCCTGTTTCAAAATAAAAGCATGAATTT